TTATTGTGGTTAGAAATAGAGTAAGACGAAAGAGAATGGAAGTGAAAAGTCGAAGCATACGTTTTGTATACCCCTGTATTTGTATATGTTCTCCTTAAAAATAACATCATATTTAAGTGGATGAAAAAGAAAGTTATTGAAAATAAACAAGAAAAGCAACCTAACTGCATCTCAAATTTCTAGGGTAGCCAAAAACAATAAATCCAACAATGTAGGATCATCATATTCTATGTACAAAAATGTAATGCAATAAATTCTAAAGACAAAAAGAATTGTGATCTTGAACTTTGTTAGTGGTGGTAGTAATGCTGATTTAAAGAGCCAAACATCAAACTCACTGCTGTGAGTCAGGAGAAATTTATTGTAAGCTAGAATAGCATAGTGGCTAAGACACTTGCCTGCTAACCAGACCGCTGGCGGTTCAAACCCACCAGCCACTCCTCGGAAGGAAGGTTGGGCAATCCTACTTCCGTAGTGATACTGCCTCGGACACCCAAGGAGGGGTCGCTATGAGTCGGGGCCGACTCGACAGCACATAACAACAACAACAACAAGAGTAATTGAGGAAAATTATTATGTTCTTGAGAACTAGAATTTTCAGTAAGGGAAATGAAAATTATAAATAGAATGAGGAATAAAAGAAAGTTTAATTTAAGGTATTTTACTGATATTTTATTAGAATTAGAAGTGCTGGTATAAGTTCATGAATTTTAATACATATATTTCAAACACACATATAATCTTAATTTAAAATAGTACTTTTATTGATTTGCATATTTTTACATTCCATTTTGAAATCATTATACTGCTGAAAAATGAAGTTAGCAGTTACAGGTGAAATAAAGTTCAAATTTTACTCAATTTGGATCTAAAATGTGAAAAACACAATTTTTTCAAGTTCATGACAGCTAGTTTTAACAATATAGATGTGTGCAATAACGCCCAAAAATACTGTTAAATTTAACCTGTCATGAGGAATGCAAAATATTTAACTTGATATATAATCATATTTTCTGGAGTGATTATTTAAATAACATATAATAATAATAATAATAATGTATTCTTTATTTTGCCTAGCAATGCAATTCTTGGAAAAACTCTTTTTTTTCCTGACTTATACCCTTACAAGAAAGAAAATTGTCACTCTCTAAAATTTAGATTTTTTTCAACTTATATTAAAACTTTAATTATGAACCAAGTACCCATTATTAAGCTGGCAGTGATTTAGATTTATCAAGCTTTGAAGCATATTCTCATTTAGAGAATTCTAATTGTTTTTTTTTTCCCCCAATGGGAAAATGGGCATAATATGAGTTACAGAATAAATTCCAAGAGGACTTTTATATATACATGAGGAGTTCGCTTTTCTTTACTGTCACATTTTTTAATTGGTTGAATCACATTGCTTTCTTCTCGTGGAAACATCACATTGGTAATGAAATCTCTGATACTGAAAAGACAAGAAAATTATGAACTACATTCCAGATTTTCCAAGCTAACATGAAAAATTGGTGCTTGTAAAGATGTAAGTCATGTGAAATTTTATACATTTAAGAAACTAGATAAATGTAAATATTAACTAAGTAGGAAAAAGTGAGCATTTTTAAATATTTGGGTTTGAACCACCAGCCACTCCTCAGAAGAAAGACTGTGCAATCTACTTCCATAGAGATAGTGCCTCAGAAACCCAAGGAGAGGTTGCTAGGAGTTGGACAGCGCTCCACGGCAGTGATTTTTTTTTTTTTTTTTTTGTTAATGTCGGTTGTGTCTACTAAGGAATATTTCTGACCATACACCTAGATTTACGTTCCATAGAAAATCAGGCCCAACAACCAGTAAAGAAATACTTAACCAGAGTAAGTGTTTACATTTTAGAAGTTTATTCGTTTTTTTTTATTCCTGTAATTTGTTAGTTATCAATCCATTGTTAGAAAATGAAGGTTGTATTCTTTAACAAAATAATTATTGAAAAAATTTAGTAGTCTGCTATATTTTAAGAAAAATGAATGTACAATTTCCTTGGTATTAATATACTTAATAAATTATATGTTTTGCATTATCTTAAGATCTAATATCGATCGGTGATGATTTTGCTTTTAACTACTTTTCTTTTTCTTTATGTGATAGAAAGTTGAAGTACTTAATTGCTACAAAGAAAACTTTTATATGTGTCATGTTTGCCTATGACCATATGTAACACATGGGAGGTCTGATGGCATAGTGCCTAAAACATTTGATTGCTAACCAGAAGGCTGGCAGTTCAAACCCACCAGAGACTCCTAGGAAAGAAGATTGGACAACCTACTTCTGTAGAGATACTGCCTCGGAAACCCAAGGAGAGGTCGTTATGAGTCAAATCACCTTGATGGCAGCGAGTTTTTTTTTTTTTTTTTTTAAACTATATAACAGGGAAAGACAGAAATTAAAACAAACAATAGCAACACCAAACGCTATTTCTTGGCAATTTGCCAGGGTAATAAGACCCTCCCCCGCCTTTCCTCCTGATGATCATTACATCTTTCACTGCCCATGTCTATGATAAACTCTGACTTCAACAAGCATTCTTAACGTCCTCATATCCTTACATTTACACAAAGTGATCTTACAAAGCAGATAGAAAAATCACATTTAATATGCACTTTTCTATTTCTCTCTGCAAATGAGCTATATAATACATCAGGTTAATAAAGAAAGTAATTGTCCTTAATAATATATTATTAACAAAAACATAGCTCCTATTTTTCTATTCAAAGGGAGAAACACATGAGATTTATATTCACATGTTTTTTAAAGTTATTGTTAATATAAATATTTTTCCATCCCTTTTGGACAATATCTGCATTCTATGGGCCAAGATTTAAAAATAAATTTGATTTAAAAATATAAAAAAATCAAGAGAAAATTTAGGGAATATGTATAATTATCTTTAAGTTACATGTAACCATAATATAGAACCAGTCTGGGGTTTTATCAGGAGATTATTGACTTGTTTCTTATATCTTTGTTTAGACAAAAGAAGTCAAATTAGTAGGTTTATATAAAAAAGAAAATGTGTCTTTAACATACAACTTAATATCTACATTTTCAAAATATATATTAAAATAAAAGTGTCTACTATTATATTCTCAAATTATTATATAACTACTATTATATATACTATTAATTACATACTATTAATTATTATATATTCTCAAATTATTAATATATAAACATATAGAGATATAATTTATGTAACTTTTAGAATCTTGGACATGTGGGGAATTTGAAAATTGATATAGCAGGTATTTGTTGTTTTTCAATCTTGCTTCATTCACTCTTTCAATAAACTTTGGTTGATGGAATGATCTTATAATAATTTCCTTTTCAGAATTTCATGATTTGAGCAGTGTCCACAGAGTTTTGTTGTTTTCTCCAGTATAGTACTGTACTGGTCTTCTCCTAAGTACTGTCAGCAGTTTTTACTACATCGTTCAGGAAACAGTAAACATGGTAGAAAATAATATTATCATTTGGGTAAATAAATAGATATGTGTATTTTGCATTATTTATACCACACATTTTATCTGCTCCAATAATTAATCCCAATTTTCTTTAGGCAAAAAGAAAGGAATGGTTACAGAAGGGGATTTCTGCATTTATATTTCTAACTACATATTCTCTTGGAACTTTCTGTCTCAAACATATGATATTAAAGAGAAAATTAATTTATAATGAGACATATAAAATACACAGGAGTACTGATTTGCACATCTTCAGTTAAAGTTAAGTTCTTTTTCTAAGTTGTCCTAAACATGGAGATTGTTTGGAATATTACAGTACATATGCAGGTAATCAGAAAATTAACAAAGGTTATGGGAGCTCTGGTGGCATAGTGCCTGAGGCATTTGATTGCTAACCAGAAGGCTGGTGGTTCAATCCCACAAGCCACTCTTCAGAAAGAAGATTGGGTGATCTACTTCCATAGTAGTATTGCCTTGGAAATCCAAGGAGGGGTCGCTGTGAGTCCAATCTGACTCCAAAGCAGTGAAAAATATGTGTTATATAAGTTCTAGCAATACAATTCTCAAAATTCTGTACATTCTTAGTTATTTTTGGACTAATAGTCAAAATGTACATTTTAAGGGGAAAGGGAGTTGAATATATATGTATGAGTGCTTTTTTGTTATGGTCACATTTACACAAGATCAATTGGGCTTCATTTATATTTTACAGATTAATTTTAATTTTATTAAGGTATACTTTTTGAAGATAGAACAAGACAACATTCACATTTCAATGAGTATGATTTTGAAGTTATTCAAAAATATTTTTTTCAGAGGAGGTACACACAATTTAGTCATTACTGCACCTAATATTTATATATCTACCTTTTATCTTGTGTCAGTTCCTTGCTAACATTGATTAACATACATCAAAGAATACTGCAGAGCTTCTACGTTTAATGACCTTAGTATTAAGAAAGTGCATAAAACTATATACATTGAGATAATACAATGAAGAATAAACTGTCTAAACAGAGGCAATATCTTTACTATCACCTTACACCAAATTTTGAAATCACTGAAGGGTTAACAATAATTGAAAAGGTAAAATTTTAAATGGTTCCTGGTTTAGAACTGAAAATAAACAGTATAAGAAATATCATGCATATAGGGATTGAAATATGTGGAATCTCTAGTTAACATTGTTGTTGTTGTTGTTATGTGCAGTCGAATTGGATCCGACTCATAGCGACCCCTCCTTGGGTTGCTGAGGCAGTATCTCTAAGGAAGTAGATTGCCCCATCTTCCTTCTGAGGAGTGGCTGGTGGGTTTGAACCGCCAGCCTTCTGGTTAGCAGTCAAGTGCCTTAGGCACTATGCTACCAGAGTAGCGAAATGCATCATCAGCCACACATCCACTATTTCTCAAGTGTTTCTCATCATTGCGTTCCTTGGTTTTGAGCCTGACCTGTGTCTATTTGTTCCATTCCCTACAGAAAGCCCTCTGTGGAGAGAGGAGATGGATGTCTACAACCAAACCACCATCAAGGAGTTCATCCTCATAGGGCTCTCTGACCTCCCACAGGTGCGCTACCCTCTTTTTGTGGCCTTTGCTGCTGTCTATCAAGTCACCTTGGTGGGAAATGGAGCCATTCTTCTTGCCATTGGGACTGAAAAAAAGCTGCACACACCCATGTATTACTTTTTGGCAAATCTATCCTGTTTAGACATTTTTTGCCCATCAGCTACTGTTCCCAAAATGCTTGAGAACCTCTTGGCCAAGAAGCAAAGCATTTCTTTTGTTGGGTGTGCTTTGCAGCTCTTTTTCCTAGTGGCCCTGGCTGGGACTGAAGTCTTCCTTCTCGCTGTCATGGCATATGACAGGTATGTTGCCATATGTTTCCCCCTTCGTTACACCCTCATCATGACAAAGGGGCACTGTATCCAGCTCACAGCCAGTACTTGGGCAGCAGGGTTTCTGAACTCCCTTGTGCACACGGTATTCACATTTCGCTTGACTTTCTGTAAGTCTAATCAAGTCAACCAGTATTATTGTGACATTCCTCCAGTGGTAGCCCTGTCCTGCTCCTCCACATATGTGGCGGAAATGCTTGTTGTAGTGTTAGGAGGTATCTTAGGGATCAGTGCCTTCCTGATCACTGGTATCTCTTATATCTACATCATATCCACCATCCTGAAAATCAGATCAGCAGAAGGGAAGCGCAAAGCCTTCTCTACATGTGCTTCCCACTTCATTGTGGTTTGTTTGTTCTACGGTACAACAATATTTACCTACGTCCGTCCCTCATCCAGTCACCACTCTGCAGCCAGAGACAGGCTCATTTCAATGTTGTATGGGGTTATTACCCCAATGCTAAACCCTATGATCTATAGCTTGAGAAACACAGAGGTAAAAGGAGCACTCAGAAAAGTTTTATGTCATAAGACAAGTTTACAGCAAGGATGATACTACTCATTTCCTTAGAAAAATTCATAGGAATTCATAGGGAATATTTATTTTCTGTTTATGTATAGTGGCATACTTATATAAACATTGAAATTAATACACATGCATAAATATAGTTACCAGTATGTCTATATATTAAGGTGGCACAGTAGGTAAGCATTAGGCTGATAACTCAAAAGTCAGCAGTTCTAACCCACTAGCTCTCAGCAGGAGAAAGCATTGACAGTCTGCTTCTGTTAAAATTAGAACCTTTGAAGTCATATGGGACAGCTCTACTCTTTCCTATAGGGTCAGAACTTACTTGTTGCCGATGGGGTTATATCTATCTATACATTTATATCTATCTTTATCTACTGGAAACATAAAAGTTATCATAAACATAAACATTCTTGTGAGTAAATAGGGAACTGTTGTGCACTGTACAAAAGGTAGAAACTGAGTCTTTCTTAAGTAAATGTGGATCTATGACCATATTCTATACCTTTATCTATGTCTATTCCTATATGGTTGGGCAATCTACTTCCCTAGTGATACTGCCTCTGCAACCCAAGTAGGGGTCGCTATGAGTCGGGGTGACTCGAAGGCACATAGCAACAACAACCTATGTTATACATCTCTCATATATACATACATATATATAGATGCATTTATATATATATACCTATAGGAGCTCTGGTGGCGTAGTGCCTAAGGCATTTGACTGCTAACCAAAGGCTGGCAGTTCAAATCCACTAGCCACTCCTCAGAACGAAGATTGGACAATCTACTTCCGTAGCAATATCGCCTCGGAAACCCAAGAAGAGGTTGCTATGAGTAGGACCTGACTCAAAGGCAATGAGGTTTTTTTCTTGTTTTTTTTTTTTTTTTTTTGTTTTGTTTTATATATACCTATACCACCTGTATCATTTATATCTATATTCATTTTTATTTATTTCTCTAATATATCTTCCTTTCACTTTCACACACACACACACACACATATTCATTTTTATTTCTGTATTTATTCCTAATGGTGTATTTATTCTATTTTCATTTTACTTTACCTTCTTTGTCTAACCCCTCATCCTGATATGCCTCCTTACTATAATGATTTTGCTGTTTCTCTTCTTCAATTTTGGTTTCCACATACTCTCTATTTCTCTATTTCTCCCTTTTTCTATGACCATTCATTCTTGGGACCTCTGGTAGTGTAGTGCCTAAGGCACTTGATTCCTAACCAGAAGGCTGGCGGTTGAAGCCCACCAGCCACTCGTCAGAAGGAAGGTGGGGCAATCTACTTCCATAGTGATACCGCCCCGGAAACCCAAGAAGGCGTCACTATGAGTCGGGTCTGACTCAAGAGCACATAACATCAGCAACAACAACATTCATTCTTGGTTTCACATTTTCCTCCAAGTGGAGCATTTACTTTTCTCCATGTTCAACCATATATATCTGACTTGGTTGATTATATTTCTATCATCTTACCCTCAATATGATGGAACAGCAAATTTCTTCTTCAAATAGAAGCTCTCTCTCTTTCCCTCTCTCTCTCTCTCTCTCTCTCTCTCTCTCACACACACACACACATACACATACACATACCAGTCTTCTCATTTGCTACCCTATCTATATTTTCGATACTTGCATCAATTTTTCCCCAGTAATTCATACTTTGTTTTTTGTTGTCATTGTATCAACTTTGACTCATTGAAATCACATGTATAACAGAATGAAATAAAATGGTGCTGGGTCCTGTAATATCTTCATAATACTTGTAAGTTTGGGGTCATTGTTATGGCTGTTAGACTTTGCATTACTTTGGAGTTCAGCATTCACTATTAATAGAGATCTGTTATTTCTGACTGAATTATTCCCCATTTTCACTTCCTGTAACTTATAGTAACATTTTCGCTCTGGGCTATGATATGGATAATGTATTTATTATACGACATTAGGTCAACAATGATATATGAATTTCTCTTTTTCCCCAACACTGTGCACCCAAATTACTTAAAAAAAAAAAAAAAAAGTTCCCAATCTTGTTATCACATTTGAGTATGTTCTGTTATCTCAGGTGGTAGATGCCACTCCTTGTATTCCTGATCCTCTTACTCTCTGGTATTCAATATCACGTCTGAATTCCTTTTATCAGTATTTTTTTTTCTTTGTGGTTAAGTGAAGTGATCATATTCCTATTGATGTGGTCTTAAATCATTCCAATTCACCCTGGCCTCTCCTCCTCTAGAGTGTCATTGAATCTTTAGTCATTATTGAAACGTTAGCAAGTAAGGATCTTATCCTATTAATCTTTGTTTCACAGGCTATGGACTGAAAGTGCTTTGAAATGCCATGCTTTAGATCAATTACACTTCACAAAAGTCAACTAGGGCCCCATTGTATTGTATACATGTTCTAAGGCTATCCATAGTTGTAGTTAATCAAATTCCTGTTATTTAATTTTAGATACAGTGGGAAAATCTATACAAACCTGAATAAGAAAATTAAATAATAGTGGTACACATTTGAGAATTGTTTACTTTTATCTCCTTCCATTCTATTTTCTACAGCAGAATTTACATGTGATATGAAAGAATGAACTAGTAATCTCATTTGTATTAAAAAATATATATTTCATGGAATTCATAAATATAATCCCACATGAAATTAAATAAAATCTTTAAATATCAACCTTGTCGTCTTTTTATATATCTGATACTCAAATATTTAATATTTCATCACTGATTTGAATGATTTTATTTCACCAAACTATCATATTTGACCTCATATCTGTGTTATACAAACAACTGTCTAATCTGAATTCTCTCCTATCATAAATGATGTATCTCACATGATGTCTACCACAATTCAAGCCTTGGCTAAAACTGGAGAAGCCTGTTGGAAAATACTAAAATGAGAAAAAAATCCTTACAGATTTTGCCTTGCTTTTTAAACTAAATGTTTTATTTATTTTTGTAGAATACTAAAGTTGATGATACCATGATAATTATAGTTTCTTATTATTATGTGAAGGAAAAAAATATCCTACAAATACACATAAAAGGATTACTCTCTTCTTCCATCTTCACGTGTTTGGAGAGACCTATTCACAACTTGAGATCTTAAAATGATTAAATATTAAATGTAACTGAGACTGGCTTATTACATATTTTCCATGCTTGAATAGATATTCCCGCTTAAATATATGGCTATATTTTGATTTACATGGTGTTTTTCTTTTGACAATACCATGGTTTGCTCTCTTTAAGAAAACAAAGAAATGTATACATCTCTGTTACTCCTCTCTCATTCTTAAAAGTCACAATCATCTGAAAGTAACTGGTCAAATTTCTTGATGGCTAAGTGCTCATCAACTTCTCTTGAGATATACCTGAAAATTCAGCAGCAATTTGAAAGGATAGTCCAGCTTAAAATAACTTTCAAATAGTTTAAAATCCATCCTTTGAAATTTAAGGAAAACCAAAGTGACAAATAATTCATTAGGCACAGATAACTGATAATTTATAAGTAATCTGACAATTTATATTGATTATTTGAAAGTCAGACTGACAGCTACTAAATATCCAATAAAGATGACCAAAAAGACTGAAAAAAAAAAAAAAAAAAACCTCAGAAGCAATGACAAAAGAAATATGTTGTTGTTGTTGTTGTTGTTGTTGTTGTTATGTGCCATTGAGTCAGACCTGACTCATAACAACCCCTCCTTGGGTTTCCAAGGCAGTATCACTATGGAAGTCGATTGCCCAACCTTTAATTCTAACTCAAAACAGGCCATGATTCAGTTGCTGCTGTGGCTGTGTTGCTGATGTTTGCCACCTCAATCACAAAGTTGGTGAGCTCTGTAATCAAGGTGTCTGTATTTAAGTCAGAACAAACTTTTTACTCTTACTTTTTTTCTGACAAAACCTGCTTGCCAATTTTGTCTTTTCTCGGTGTCTCAGGGCATGGCTTTAGATTCGTGATGCAGTGGAAGTTGACCAGGCTGCTATATTGCTTTTTTTTGTGTGTGTGTGTGATTTGGGTGAAAGTTTAAAGAGCAAGTTGTTTTCCATTCAATAATCCATACATATTCTGTTTTGTGATATTTACTGCAATCTCCACACTATAATAGCATTCTTCCCACTTCTTCTCTAAGTTCACCCCTTCCCTTCAGGCTTTCTTCCCATCTTGTTTTGCCTTCATAGCTCTATGTCTGGGCAAGTGCTCTCCTCTTGATCTCATAAATTTGATTATTCTAATGAGTGCATAGCCTCCTGATATTACTGTGCACCTTATAAACTTATTATCTGGCTGACAGTTGAGTCACAGAGTATTTTGGTTACTTAGTGCCATTCTGGCAGAAATACACCACACATGGGATGGCTTTAAGAAACAGGAGTTTATTCTCTTAGAGTTTGGAGGCTTTTAATCCAAGTTCAAAGTGCCAGGCTCTTGGGGCTGGGTGAAAGCCCCTGAAACTTGGGCTTCAGCTCTGCATCCTGCTCCCAGCCCACTGAAGCTGGAGGCTTTTCTTCACTCAGACAGCTGCTGGCTGCTGAAGCTGACAAATCCAAGGTTGACAAGTGAAAAGGCACAGTCTCAATTGTACCAAGCAACACAGCAGGCCATTGATTCAAGTCCATTCAAAGTCCCATGATCGGCAGGCTATGGCAGGCTGTTGAACAACAATTCAGCTACATGTAGGGTTTAAGCATGCCATAAACTAGAGACCACTCCCAAAACTGCTTTTTACATATGTGAAGCAGACCATATCCCTAAAGCAGCTATTCAGCTGCTTGTGGTAGATTCCACCATGGAGTTGATTGTCATTCTCTTCATGGGGAATAACTACCACCAGCTCCCTATCGACTCAACCAGGCCCAGCCAAGCTGACACACAATCTTAACTACCACAATTCCACACCTTGTCAACTTGGCACCTGTACAGATCTTCAGTGGCTGATATCTTCATTAGGTGGTCCAGGTCTCCTTGTTCCTCTGAATGGTGACCTCACTCCCTTG